CATTTATACCTTAAATAGTGTACAGGATTGTATTCTGAATGCTCTAGTGCTGTGTGACCTTGAATACATTGTGTAACCAATTGGAGGTCTGATTTTCTCATAAAAAACATGTTTAGTATATGTCCTGGGTTTAAAAGTTTAAGTGAAAAGTGGATATAAAAGTGCTTAGAAATACTGTTTGACCCTTATTATTCCAGATCTAATTTTCATATTGCTATAAGAAAGTATTTGCTCTAGATTTCCAGTTAAGTATTTTTCAACACTTAACATTCTGATTCCTCATCAAGACCATGGTAACTATAAGACAATGTGAAGGTGTTTTCTGTTTAAAATCAGTTTTACTTATTTACTTTTCAAAAGCATGTGCTACCAAATGTGTTTTTAAATATACTTTTTGATATATATATTTTATTAGTTTGTACTAATATATTCTCATATTACAAAGGCAATTTAGTACAAGAATCTTTTTGATATTTGAATCTTAAATATATTCTTAAAAATATAATAAAGCAAACATTTCATAATATAATGCAAGGTAGAAAAAATATGGACAAGTTTTTAAGTTGGCGGCACAAGCTGAGTTGAAACCCTTTAAAACTATCATTACGGGAATAGAAGCTTGGTATATGTAAGAACCTATCTTGAATTTCTGATGAAGGTGACAAGTCACTGTTGCCTAACTAGGTAAGTAAATGCACCTGAAATATGACAAAAAGAAAACATTGCTTAAGTATTCTGAGATTCTCAACCAAAGTACCAATCATGTTTTCATGTGAGAGACACAGAGGTAACAAACTGGCAGCCCTTGATTCTATTTGTTCAACGTTTTGCTTGCTTGCTAAATGTTTAAAAATTATTTGAACCAATGTTTAAAAAGCAGGATATTTTACCTAAAGTCCAAATTTCCGCTCCTCGTGACACACATGGCAACATGAGGCCCATATTCCCACATGGCAAAAGGGCTGGGAAGTGATGCCCCATTTAGATGGGGAATTCTCTAGTTGTCACTATAGTGTATTTACCTCTTTATCTTAACTGCTAGCAGCTACAGGCATGTGACTTTGCAACTTCAGTAAAATACAGAGCCACTGCAACATATATGCCAAACTGTCCTGTTTTATAATTAATGTGTATTAAGAAGCAAAAAATAAAATCTGGGAACTGAGGGAGACATCAGAAGCAATCCTGTTTATGTAAAGGACAGGACATTTTTCTTTTGTGAATATTTAATGTTAGTTCCCTTTAAGTCGGGGGTGGGGAATCTTTTTTTCTGCCAAGAGCCATTTGGATATTCATAACATCATTCACTTAATATAATTCACTCACCATATATTTATGTTGCTATGAAAAAAGCTCCTAGATTTAATGAATTTGGAGTCCTGCCTGTGGTTGCCTTCACAGGGCCAGACTGAATGATTTCACAGGCCTTATTCAGCCCCACTCCTGCTTTAAGTAAATTCAATCTGGCTAGTCCAGGTTGTGGATGGGGGTAGCAGGACTGGTAGAAAAAAAGAGCAAAAATGCTTATCTTTTGTCTTACCCAAGACTTGTGGTTGACGTAATAGAAGGATTTTCAAAAGCGTATTTCTGAATGTGAACTAACATGAGAAAAAAATAAAAGGAGCCCCAAAAGGTGTTTTTCAGCAGACACAATGTAGTTATGCTCACTCTCACTGAATGGCTGCCCGCATGCTAGCTGGGTGCCTAATTTGGTTTGATAATGCTCATCTGGAGATGCCAAATAACCTCATATGTCATGCAGTTGGAAGCCATAGTAGATTCTAGTCTGTTCTGCTATCTGGCATCTGCTGGTAGAAAAATGTTGCAACATGTTTCAATTTGGCTAATGACTCCAGACTCATGGGAATAAAATGTGTGGTGTCTGGCTTCTGGAATGTGCCTAGGCCTAAGAACAGGAACTGCTCTTCTTGGGTGAACTTGGATGATGGTGTTGGTTCTGGTATACTCCAGTAGCAGACACTACTATTAAGTTGGTAGAAAATGACGCAACATCCTACTCATGCAAAATGTCTTTTTTCCTCATAATTTTTGCCATTTTAAAATTCAGGACTAGAAAGTGGCCCTAAAAATATTAATAACCTTTTAAAAAGGTAAAATATGCACACAGATAATAATTTAATAAAAAATGTAAAATAAATAAAGAAAAAATAAAGAAAAAGGTATTTGAAGAACTTTTTAGCCCTAACCAGTTTTACTCAGTAGATAGAGCATTGGCCTGCGGACTGAAGGGTCCCAGGTTCAATTCTGATCAAGGGAACATTCCCAGTAGGGGGTGTGGAGGAGGCAGTTGATCGATGTTTCTCTCACATTGATGTTTCTGACTTATCCCTCTCCCTTCCTCTCTGTAAAAAAAATCAATAAAGTATATTTTTTTAAAAACCAAACTTTTTACATTCCCAGATCTGAGATATCCAGCTATTTCAACAGTATGCAAGGAGAAAAATTGATAATTTTTTCAGTGTTTCTCAAAATCTGATCCTCAGATCACCTGCATCAAAATCCCCTAGATAATTATTAAAAATAGTTTTTTCTGGAGGTTTCCCCAAACTCTCTGAATCAGAATCTTTGCTTATTTTATTAAGAGCCCCACATTAAACTTGGAGAATCACTGTCTTAGATTATTAATATTTCATGCCCATATACCCAAATTAGACTGCTTTAGAAGTTATTAACTGCCACACATACAACATACCATGTTCTACACACTACGTAAAGCATTATTAGTTGAGTCATTCTGTTCAACAATCCTAAGGGGTTTTATAGCTACATTTAATAGGTGATTAATAGAATGAGTAAACTGTCCAAAGTCACTAGCTAGTGAATGGCCCTGTTCCAGACACCCAGATCTGATTCTAAAATCTGTGGTCTTAACTAGTATATTCTTTTACCTAACTTGAATATGAAGTCAACTTAAAAGTTATTTCACAATGCCACATGAGCAGAATTCCTTCTACACAAAAGAAGTGACTGATGGAGTACATTACTTAACTTTCAATTTCTGCCCGCCCAGAGCATTTCCTTCTGCTCCCGTAAGTGCATTTTCTTCCTTGCACTTATCTCTCATGATCAAAAATACGTCTAGGATATGAAAACTACTGAGCTTGGCACTTTTGGGAGTTTTTCTTATGATTATGAAGCAAATTCTGGAAGTACATCTCCATCCATTGGGCTAAGAATTTTTCTAATGTACTATTAAGTATAATCTTGATTTTGCAAATTTTAATAGGCTTCGATGAATGTTACCAAAACTCTATCATATCACAGAACACCAGGACCAATGAGGTCTTGCAAGAGAATTTCAGGGGGAGGGGGAAAAAATAACATTGTCTAAATTGAAATTTGGCTAAATGGCCAGCAGCTGCCTTGATATCTGCTTTAATAACATCTGTAGGTAAATTGCAGGGCCCACACATCTTTCATTAACAGTTCTTAGAGATGAAACTCAAAAACTATGCTGATATCAATAGATTTTCCTGCAGATTACATTGCATCAGCTCCAAGTGTAGGAAAAATAGGAACATTTAATAAAGGTAATTAGTCCAGGGCACTAATGCAAACCAGGCGTCCTCAAACTTTTTAAAGTGGGGGCCAGATCACGGTCCCTCAGAGAGCTGGAGGGCCGGACTATATGAACTACTAATTCCTACTGTAACACCTCGGCTGCGCTCACTGCCCAAAAAACCTGGCGGGCCAGATCAGACTCCTCTGCGGGCTGCATGTGGCCCGCGGGCCGTAGTTTGAAGACCCCTGCTCCACACATACAGGAGCATTAAATGCTAAACTGTAAGACACCACAGAAAGATGCATGTGCTGAGAAGTGGAATGAATTCAACTCATGGCACAGGTAGATGTAGCTGCAATTGAGAAGGCTTAATCATGATTGGAAAAGTATGAATATTATAAAGTATGCTAGAAAAAATGTTTAGTAGAATCTAATCAAATATGTAGACCAACTTCTGATTTATAAGAGACAAAGACCCTGGCCTGAACTCTTCAAAATGCCATTGTAACAAAGAAAAAATAAATAAAAAAGAATGAGGGAACTATTCTACATTAAGGCTAAAGAGTTACAATATCCAAGTACTATATAGGAACCTTGACTGGACCCTAATTCTTTCTTTGCCAGGGGAGTGGAGGAAAAGATATTCTTGGGCCAAATGGGAAAATTTACATAATAGATTTTAAATATCTATAGTACAGAATTATTGATTTCCTTAGTTGTGATAATGATACTGTGTTTTGCAGGAGAACTTTATAATTCTTGGGAAATACATACTGCAAATTTTAGGGCATCTAACTTAACATTAGGTGTCTGCAATCAATTCCCAAATGATTCAATGACAATGAAAATGTGTGTGAGAAGGGATGAAATAAATATGGCAAAATGTTAACAACTGTTTGGGTATAAGTGAAGGGTATATGAATGTTTATTATATTTTTTCAACTTTTTAAATTTTTGAATATTTATTTTAATAAAAAATTGGGTGAGTAAACTCATGTTGGCGAGTCTTCAGAGGGGGGAAGCCTACGAAAGGTTGAGTAGTACAGACTATGTTGAATTTCTGGTAAACTGAAGTTCTAAAACTCTTGGGCATCCAGGAGACATCTCAAAATTCAATCTTTCAGTAAATACTTACCAAAATACCACGTGCAGGATAAAACGACAAACCATTTTATTTAGGCATAGTAAAACTAAACATAAGCAAGTCACATATAAAATAGAGGTCACATAAGAGGTACTAAAAGTGCTAAGTAATCTCAGAGAAAATTACTTCCTGCTGGGGAGAATCTGGAAACACCTCCAACGATAACCAGTATGTTTATGCAGAATCACAAAAGGTAGGTGCTTCAGAGATTAATATAGGAAGAAACGAGTAGTTCATTTTGTCTGAGATATGAGTACTAAGGAAGTAGAAATTAAGAAGGTAGGTTTGCACCCTTGTTGTTGACTGGCTGGGTAAAACCGATTTTTAATTTACCTGAAAGTTCTGATCTTTTTCCTTTGCAGTTTTAGGCATCCAACCCGGTATCATCAAAATGACAATTCTTTATTCAAGCCTAGAGAAGGAACTACATGATAGTGAGTGACAACTCTTGAAAACGTCACATATACTAATACTGTAGTTATATATTCACAAGCATTAAATTCTTTAATAAACTGCAGACATGCAGAATTCAAATGCAAACCTTCATCCAGAACTGCAGTCAGTGCTTACAGATCCTCAAGAGAGGAGAGAAAAAAAAAGGGAGAAAATTCAAAATATTTGGGAGGCAGGGAAATAAGACTTAGAAGTGTTGCTGCCATGATGGGGACCATCCTTTTCCTTTTTAGCTGGGAATGGAAAACGATTTCGTCAAGCTCCCTAATTCTTCGTCCTCCTAAGGTCAGGAGGTGAAAGTACTCAATAGGAACTTTGCGGAGGCGTGGTCAGGAGCTCGGAGCGGGAGTGGAGGGCTCCGCCCTGAGGCCCGCGCCCTGGCCCCTCCGGAGCGGGCTGACCGGCCGCAGCGGGGCGAGGGGGCCGGCGGAGCGGCCTCGCCCCACGGAGAGGCGGAGGGAGGGAGTGAGGGAGAGAGGGCCGCCGCCGGGCCAGCCCGGAAAGAAAAGCGGCTTCCAGCGGAAGCAACTCAAGGCCCCGCTCGCCTCCGCGGCGCTTGGTCTCCCAGGGACCGTCGGGCCCAGGCCTGCATCTCAGGGGGAGGCCCAGGGACACCCACATCACTTGGCGACTCCAGTCGGAATGGGCACTCTCGGGGCCCCGGGGGCGCACGCGATTCCCACTCTTCCGCCTTGACCCCCATTCAGAAGTGCCAAACGCAACTTCCGGGCAGGACAGGGTTTCTCGGAGCCCCAAACTCTGGTCCACATAGGTAAGTGACCAGACGTCCCGCAGACCAAGGGCCAGGACCCCTGCTCCCTCCTCGCCCCCGCCCCCGCCCCAGGCAGCTAGTCCGGAATATTAAATTAACTTGCCTACCATGGGCTGTCTGGTCACCTTTGGTTCCATTTTGGGTCTACTACTTACAGACGACTCTCTTCCCAGACCGCTTATCTGTTGCCAGGGCAACGGAGGGAGACGAAGGGAAAACTACGTCATACAGGAGAAGGGAGGTCCGTCGACTCCCGTTGCCAGTATCAGTGATGGCTGCTTTGGCTTCAACGGTACCTTCCTATTGGGTGTTGTCTCTACCCCGCGGGAGGCTCACTTACTCTGTGCCCCGGCGAGCCCGCGGCGCCCCGCGGGCGGGAGAGGGCGTGGCGGAGCCGCGGAGAGGGAGAGGGCGGGGCGAGGGAAGCCGAAGCCGACGGCAGCTTCTCATTGGGCAGCGTCGCTGGCGCTAGTGCCTCGTTCTGATTGGGCAGCGTCGTTTTCCCTTGCCCCGCCTTACTTTCTTCCCCAGCCAGTGAGCGGCCGGCGCCGGAGGGGCGGGGCGGGACGGGGTGGTAGAAGCGAAAGTGTGGCGGGGCGAGCGGGGCGAACGGGGCGGGGCGAGTGGGGGAGGGGCGGGGCGGGGCGAGTGGGGGAGGGGCGGGCGGGGGGCGGCGGTTGGGCAGCGTCTCTTCTTAGGAGGAGGAGGAGGAGGAGGAAGGAGGGCGAGCGAGCGAGCGAGGAGGATGGCGGAGTCGGGGCTCCTGACGGTAACCTGGGGCGGCTGAGGCGGGAGGGTGTCCGTAGGTCGGGTCTTCCTGCCTCCCTTTCCTGCCCGTCGGGCGGCCGGGCTGTCGGGCTGTCGGTAGGGGGAGGCCCCGCGCGCCCTGACTGGCGCGAGCCGGCGGGGCCGGGGCGAGGCCCCAGGGGCCGGGGCCCTGGGAGGCGCCGCCGCCCGCCGCCGCCGCGGCTCTCCTGGGTGCTGTCGCCGGGAGGGCCGGGCCCTGGGACCGGGCTCTCCGTGCAGGGACCGCGGCCGGGCGCCGAGAGCGAGCCGGCGGGCTCTGACAGCGACCGGGGCCAGGCCTGCGGCGGCGGCGGCGGGCGGCCGGGACAGCGCCCGGCGAGGGCGAGGGCGAGGGCGAGGGCGAGGGCGCGGGCCGGGGGCGCCGGGAGAGCGAGCGGGCCGGGCCGGCTCCCCTCGGCTCCCGGAGCCGCCGGGTCGGGGCTGTAGGGACACTGTGGGCGCCCGGGAGGGCGTGTAACGCTTGGCGGGGTCCCCGGCGCGGCGGCGGCGGGACGGGGTGGGGGGGCTCCCCTCGCGCCCTCCTCGCCGCCTCTCCCTTCGGTGGGGCGCGGGGAGCAGGCTCTGGGTGCGCTGCCAGGTGAAGCGAGTTGTAGGCATTGAAGACTGCCCTGTCGGACATGCCTGATGGCAGGCAGTCTCTTGCACCGGAGCTTTTAGAGACGGAGGAAAAGTACTCCTCTTCCCCTCCCTCCCCCCTTTCCCCAACTCAACACTGGAGGTTTCAGGACCAAACGACCCCCCCCCCCCCACCCTCAGTATCCATTGTTTTGTATCGTCCTCCTCCCCCGCCCCACGTTTAGGTAGAAGAAGAAAAGACTCCAAACCATTAATTGACCCCCCCCCACCACCACCACCCCGCCATCAGCAGCGGGTTTGTGTGATTGTGTGAGTGTGGATTTACAAACAGGTGGAATGCATACGGATTCGGGAGCTGGAAAGGTTTTGAAGCTTTTCAGCCCCTTACCATTGCTGATTGGATTTTGTTGTGTGTTGTTGCTTTGTATCGTAATGGGGGTGATGAGAATAAAAGAGGAAGCAATGTTTTGCAACCTACCCCAAAGAAATGTTTTCTAAGTCTCTCTGGGGATGCTGAAGCCAAAGTGGGTTGCAGATGTGGACTGTATAGCATTTGCCTTCATCATAGCTGCCAGCGGTCTATAAGCTTATTTAGACTTGGGCAGTTCTGTACATTTCTTAAGTGTCAGCAGTTTCTAGTATCTACTCAGAGGGATCATTGTATCTAAAACTTACTTTTGTTATGTTTTTTCAGAGTCCCAGGGTACACTTGTGTAACCAGATATTTTTGTATCTAAATGAAGCATCAGTCCTGAAATGTTGTCTTTATTTTGAAGACCTCAGTTTATTAGTGTACTAATCTCTATACTTCCTTGCCATAATCCTTATAACTGTTACGCTGTATTTGAAGAAATTTAGCTATTGGGTACAATTTGTAACATTCACAAAGCTTACGTTTGTAGTTTGAATTTATCGTGTTAAGGTTTTTCTATGTGACAAGTGACAAGAATTTTGAGGAATTGAAGTATGTTAATGACCATTCCTACCTATGGAACTTAGATTGAATATAAATAAGCCTTTTAAATACTTGTTTGGACATAAGGTATACTGTACTTTTAATTCATTATGATCATACATTTGAAAAGTAGATCATAGGCAATGAAGGCTTTGTCTAAGGTTTGTAACTTTCAAATGGCTTAAATGTAATATAAAGCTAACATGTAAAAGTATAATAATAATTTTTTCAAATTTTATTGAGAAGTAATTGCCATACATCACTGTATAAGCTTAAAGCATATCACGTGCTGGTTTGGTTTGTATATATTGTGAGATGATTACCATAACAGGTTTGGGTAACATCCATCTCCTATAGATATAACAAAAAGAAAAGGGAATATTTCTCCTTGTGATGAGAACTCTGAGGGTTTGCTCTCCGCTTTCCTGTATATCATACATCGGTGTTAGCTACAGTCAGCATGTTGTACATTACATCCCCTAGTACTTACTTATTGTGTAACTGGAGGTTTGTACCTTTTGACTACCTTCCTCCTGTTCCCCTCCCCCCACCCTCCTCTGGTAACCACAAGTCTGATCTCTTTTTTTATGTTTTTGCTAGTATGTTTTGTGTTGTGTTTTTTGTTGTTTTTAGATTCCATATCTAAGATCATACAGTATTTGTCTTTCTCTGACTTGTTTGCCTTCAAGGTCAATTCATGTTGTCCCAAATAGTAGGAATTCCTCATAAAACTATATTCTTGAAATGCCAGTTTTGAGGTATGGACCTTGCCTGTATCTAAGGTTCCTTCCTTTCCCCCCAAGATGTTTGTTCAGTTTTTGAAGAAACAACTACACGTTGGTTGGCATTTGTTTTCTGATGTCATTGTTAATATAGTTTTCGAGTGTTTAAAATTTTCTTATTTTTTATAAATTGTTTTGCATTAAAGAGGGAAATTAAGGGCTACATTAATATCTTGTAGCTGGATAATTCTTTAGTTTTTAAACTACGATATTCAGAAATTTTATCAAAGCTGTGTTTTGATAATTGTAGCAAGTAAGAGTTATATTAATAACTTGTGATCTACAACCCAGTCAGAAATTTGAAACATTTCACTTTTCAAAAGAAACAGCAAAATTAACAATTCTTTTGTTAGACTTGCTGGAATTACGCTTTTTAAACAATACTATTTCTTCAGTGTCTTGGGTCAAGGCTTGTTCCACGTTCAAAGAACCATAAACTGGAATTCTCTGTAAATACTCCCAAAGACGGTTTCTGAATAGCTGCTGGTACATTATTTTGCCTTGGCTTACCAGTATGAATTATGGGGGAAGGGTGGATAAAATTGGAATTCTTTGTTATTTGGGCAATTAATTATGGTCATATTTGTTTTGAAAATATGCTAATTTAACAATATCTATAATGAAATTTAATATTTCTGTAGGACTTGTTCTTTAAACAATTTAAATTTTTAGATTTTTTTCCTAGTAAAAAGATATTTGAAATATGTAAAAATAACCTGTTGTGTTTTTTGACTAAAAAATATACTCTAACCTGTATTTGCAGATATGAGGATTGATATATTTTGGAGGTTGAAGATTAAATAAAAGAATATATCTTTGTAATTCAATTTACTATGTCATTCGTGTACGAAAAAGCATAAAATCAATACTTAGAACAACAAAACAAAGTCAAGACCAACACACATGCCCCTCCAAACAATAAAAAACAACCAAACAAGTTGACCCCCAAATCCTTTAGTTAGTCAAGTTTTTATAGCTTGGCCTTGGTGGAAGTATTTTTGAACTAGTTTATATTAGGAGAGGAAATTTAGATATAAAATAAGCACTTGGATATTTCCTAGTAAGACTAGGAGGAAATTGGAAAATATTTTGTGAGTAAATGAATTAGATAGAAATTGGCTATAGTTTAGCAGCAGAGTGATACATTAAGTATTTTATGTGATACTTGAGCAGTATTACAGGCATGAAATTGTTATTTTTTGTTTATTGTTAGGCTTACATTTATGCATTATATTATGCATGGGCATGTTATAATTTAAGGCTAAATCTTTCATATATATGTGTATGTATATTCTGTTATCTCTGCCTTCTGAATTTTGTTTACTTGTTACACTGCATCAAATTTATGCCCTAAAGATCTTATTTTCTCTGTTAATATAGTAGTTAAAATTTTGTATTTTTCCACCTGTCTACACTTTTAAAATCTGAAAAAAACGTGTGTTACAAGGTGACCTCTGGTGTGCTTGAACTTGATATAGAGTGTTCTGCAATATAATTGTCATCGGTGTAGGTTGAGAAGAACACGCATAAGTCTGAGAAACTGATTTATGTTCTAAAACATGTAGTTGAATTATTTTAGGGTAAACTAGTGTTTATTATACCTTTGTTGGGTATTTTCCCCTGGTTTGCAACTTTTTAGCAAATCAAAATTTCTTACACGTGAAAAGCATATTCTAATTACAAAGGGCTCTTCAGCTTTTCAGGTGTTGGCAACATATGTGCTTTTTGAGAAAATAAGAAGTTCCCATTATCAAGATTTAAAAGAACTAATTAGATTTCACACTATATATCTCATTGCAATTTCTCTATAAAGATCAGCACTGGTTGCAAAAAGTAGTGAATGCTGTTAAAAGGCAAAGGCTCTTTTGTCAGAAAGAATGAACATATTGCTTGAAGCTAAAACATTGCAAGAGACCTTTAAAAGGTATAATTGGTCCCTACCTGAAATGAACCTGAAAACCTTTTATGAAATATTTGGCATGTCTATCTTCTAATATTTACAGCACTGTGAACACTCACAATTTAAGCACTTTATTTGTCCTCAAATACTACTTGTAAATTCTACAATTTTAATTTAGTAATTTTACAGTTGACAAAGATAGATCTTTTTTTTTTTTTTTTTTTTTTTTTTTTAGTTTTTCTAATGCCTTGGAGGTAAAGTGGAAATGGATTGTTCTGACCTTGATAATGTCTTAGAATTTGGAGTGAATTTCA